CTCAGTTTCTTTCCACATTAATTTCCAGAACACCAATTGTTGTGAGACAGAGGGAGTAAAGGCAGTAAAGGAAGTGGTCTGCGCAACTGCAAATTGGGATTTGCTTTCACTGTAGTAATGAGAAGTTATTTTTTAAAACTATTTCCATTTCTCTTCTTTCTGGCTATCTTTTATGGGCCAGTAAGCTAGAAAATACATGAATAGAGAAGTCGAGTTCTGTAGCCAGCTTTAATGTATACTGGTACTTTCAAGTCTTTAAAAAAATCAAGGAATATGTTTCAAATTGGATCAGGGCAAACACAAAGCTAACTGAATATATAAAACACTAATATAGTATGTTCACTGTTCCTAACCCACCTGGAAAAGCAGGCTAAAATGTGATAGCTGTACTGACTTTTTAGTTAACTTTGACAAACAGTTTAGAGGAGACAAGTCAGTTAAACAGTTGTAGCATACACTAATATGGTTGTGGTCTTCTGATTTTAAAAGAAAATATTATTACAGTCCAGCTATGGGATGCTTTAAGTTAAACCATGACATTAAAAGGTGTCATAAATAGAGATCTTGCATGAAGTCCCTCCAAAATCCTTGATAGACTTCCTCCTTCCTGTCACCTCCTCTTCTATCCCATCCTGTGCCCTCTGGAAAAGAAATAGGTAACTCTATCTCCTTGTTATAGTTACAGCAGGGAAAGCAAAGATACTCTGGGTAGACTGTGTATATATACTGTAATATGCTCTGTACAGCCTGAACTGGCGGCTGACTTGTTTAATTCTTAGGAAAACTTCTTGTTAGGATACTCCAGGAGGGCACGGCACTGACCTATCAATATCGTCAGCAGCTTGCTAAGGAGGAGTGAGCAATCTTGTAAGGAAAGGCATCATTCTCTCATGTAAACCTTTGTGCGCGAAGCAAATACATGCTGATAAAACACATGGTGCTAGAATATGTTTGGTTCCTTCCACCTCTTGTGCAATTCAATTATATTTCATTAACATCAGCAAATAATTACTATCTCCAAATAGCATTTTCAAGCTGATTTGTTTTCATTCCAGGCAGGAGGGTAGAAATAATGCCAAGATATTATCACAAATTGTTCCAGGACTGTTGAGAAATTGCTATTCTTAAACTCTTCACTTAATTGTGCCAAATATTGTCACTTACATTTGTACAAAATTAGCAGTAAAACTCAGCTCCTGATCTCCTGATCTGCACACACCTACTCCCTCTTGCAGTGTTCTCCTAGGAATTGCAGTCGTCTTTCTTTGTTTAAGATGGAGCTGGGCCCACTGTTTTTACTGAAATTCAGAGAACGGCTAAGATTTGATCACCAGAAAAAAGTCACCCACTGCATGTGGAAGATTGCTTTTCCATAACCCTTTCTTTGCGCTCAGAGAAAATAACTGTTTAAATTGAATAGACAGGTTCACTTGTTTTTTATGAAAGGCAGAAAGTAAAATATTTATCAGTGGTGATAGCAAAAAGATAGATCCTCTGTATGACCTTTGCTGTTTTGACATTCAAACTATACACATATCTAAGTCAGGCATACAAACAAGCACACACAAAAACCCATGCATTTTCAGCTTATGTCAGACTCCAGCATTCATCTTGAGCAATGGAGAATATTATCACTCCTGGCTCAGATCAGTCCTGGAGTCTCTTCCCAATGGGTGGTAACAATTTCTTTCCTCATAGGAAAATCTAGGAGCTGTTTAACAGCGCACAGCATAGCACATTTGGGTATAGGAGAGAACAAGCAAAATTGTGTGCACCTGAAGCTACCAAAGGGGTCTTCTGCACAAATGGTTACTGAGGGACACGGCTGAGAATAGAGAAGGGTACCTGTCCTTGCAAAATTTGGAAGGATGAGATGGTTATGGCCTACAATTTCTTTCATTTACAACAAACAGCCTTTATGAAGAGAAAGACTCTGTAAAATACAAAGGGTATAATACGCTTTGCCCCAGTTCACCACATTCAGCCTTTCTTCTTACACAGGTGAAGCAGATCTTTTCTACCACATGGCAACTGTCTCTCTCCGTTGATGTACGGGTTGCGTTTGGCCTTCACTGTGCCACATTTCATACCCAGTAAGGCAGAGTTTGCTTTTAGAGGCTGATTGCCTTGAGGGGAGGAAAGGTAGCTTTACTGCACTGCTGGAGTCTTGCTAGAGGCTTGTTGTGGGAGCCACCAGCTGGGCTTAGTATCCCTGCTCTCCTTTGTGATTGTTTTTACTCTCTACCTCCCTTGCAGTATAATGTTCACGCTTGGGCTGTTTTTGACCATGCACAATGATTAGCTAACTGTGACCAAAATAGGGAATGGCCTTGCTCAGCTAGCAACATGGCAGTGTTTCTGTCTTTGGTCGTGAGCAGAGCTGACTGTGAGACATGGTTTTTGGATCCATTGTGTTGTTCAGATCAGATTTTACTCAAAATCTATATGGGGGAACAATCTAGGAGCTGAAGCTACAAAAGTCTGGATATAAACTTCAGATCTTTGTTTTCCTTTGGCTTTGTATTCCTTAGCTTTGGCAGTATTTTTGCTGACAAAACTTTGGGTTTGCTAGTGCTTCATACCTTGTTCTTTACAAGGATTTCCTTGCATCTACCTATAGATTAGGTTTGCACTAGGCTAAAGAAAAATTCTTGTGAGAGACATTTATCAAGGAATCAGCAAGACCAGCATGACTGGCTGTGTCAAAGCTTTTCAAGGAGAGTAGGAAGAGGTCTGAGGAAGGGAGAAGAGATTTACAGTATTGGAAAACATGGTTATAGTCAAGTGGAGGGGACAGAAGCCATTTTGGGGGAAATCAAGAGGAGATCTGCATTGGAGGGAAGATGACATTTGGAGATGGCACTTGGAGACAGTTGAGAGCGAAGAAATAGGTCAACAGCTGAGGAGTAGGTGTCACAGAGAAGCTTGTTTTCCAAGCCAAACAATGCAAGAAGCATGATTTCACTGCTGCAAAAATACTGCAGCATTAAAAAAAACAACAAACAAGCAAACTTTGACCCCTGAGCTAGTTTCAAGTTTAGCTGCTATTACCAAACAGACCAGTCAAACTACCTCCTTGGCCACTCGTTCAGGTTTTCAGGCAGGTTCAGTCACCCATACTGAGCTCTGTGCTGCCATGATCCCACACTGCAAGTACCTAAGCCTGTCAATTTAAAGCTATCTCTAGTGTTTGCAGTGATGGCTCTGAGGACACCCCTTGTGCTTTTAGCGGGGTGAGATTAACCTAGTGGGGGAGAATAAGCAGCAAAGAATGGCACATGAAGCAATCAAATGGAAACAATATTCCACAATATAGTATGGCATTTGTAATGGCCTGCCCTGATGTTCTCCTCCTTTGTAATGCATAGCTGTAAGAATTTATACCTGTATTCTTCCTTAGCACGTGCAAAACTTTCAACAGATGTTCTTTACAGATCACAGTTAATCCGAAATTCTCGTTCAGAGAGTGCAGTATGTTCCTGAAAGCCCTTAAAGTATGCTCATTTCAAGAGTGCAAAAGTATCTTCTCTGATGAGGAAATATTTATGGGACACTCTTCAGGTTTTCTTTGAAAAACGTATCAGTCATTAGTAATAGCTCCATGAAGAGGGAGAACATTTGGTCTGCTTATTTCTTTTGTATTTAAATATAATTTAAATGGAATGTAACTCAATATTAATTTTGAACTGTTGGATGGTTTTCTTCCTTTAGCACAATGGAAAAAGAGAATCGTATGCTCATGCTATAAGTTGAATGGCCTAAACTTTTATGAATCAGTCTTCCATGTTTGTTGTTCTCAGAACTATGGTTCTTGAAGGATATTGCAGAGGGCTAACTTTATTCATCTATCTGCTTTTTTTGTTTTCTATAAATCATATTGAGTGTTTGATTACAAGTTTGTGACTTGAAGTCATTTGCCAGCAAAGACTGTTATTCTTCTTTCCTCCTCACTTTTTCTGCAGTTTTTTGAATCCATTACTTTCCAACTGTGAATATATGAAATAGCAGGAGGTGTATGAAATAGTCACAACAAAGAGAGAAAACTTGAAGTGGTGGGAGGCTTTATTTGCATTTCATTAAAAAAACTAAAATTATGTATCTCAGTTTTTTGCATTCAAAAAATCATCTGCTATTTATGAAAAAATAGAGAAGAAAGACAGAAGGAGCTTCTTTCTGAGGGAAAAAAAATGTTGAAAAACAGTTGTGTTTCATGTCTGAAATCCCATTCTGTTGTTCCAGATAAATGTGCCAGAGGAATCAAACAGCTCCGGCAAGCATTTTAACTGTGCAGGTCTTGGTCAGATAGGAGATTCTCTGGCTATTTTCTTGGGCTGACTGTGCGTTGTATTTGCATTTTTACTCAGTCAGTAACCAAAACATGTCTTGAAACTCCTTGGGATATGTAGAGGGATCCTTTACGGAAAGAGCCTATTTTGTTCTTTCAAGTCACTCCCTCTTATGTTTTTTAAAGAGCTTTTCATTTCCTCTGTTTATCTTCTAGCATATGTAGCCAGTCAGTTTTCAAGGCCTTGGGCTGCAGCTAGCATTTCCGTGTTTGCAGAGTCCTTCAGTGTATCTCCTTATTGCTTCAAGTTTTCTTGGTGATTCAAACTCCCTGTTTTTTTGCATAACCCAGACATGCCTTCCCTCCTTTCTGCTTGATTATGCTTGCAGAGTCTTCAGCATCTTTAGCTGTGCTGGCCCTAGCAGAAAGCTGCTAGTAACCTGACTTGGATCCCCTAAATCTCTGAGTTTAATGAAAAGTTTCAAGACCTATAAGTTTTTTTTTCTTTTTTTTTTTTTTTTTTTTTTCAGTTTGAAAGCAGAGAACACTCTTCTTGGGGTATCTGTGAGAGGCAGGTATCTGCAGAGGTAGAGCAAAAGCATGGCAAAAAGATTTACATGAAAAATTTAGTATAATACATTTTATGCTGCTAGTACATAACGAGGCTGTGAAGTGTAAAGTGTAGTCACTGTTGCTCTTGCTTTTTCTCATGCAGGTTGGATTGCCATGTTGGGAGCTATTTGGCTGCTAGTGTTAGCAGACATCCATGATTTTGAGATGATATTAAACAGAGTTGAATGGGCAACCCTTCTTTTCTTTGCAGCATTATTTGTTCTCATGGAGGTAAGATTCTGTGATTTCTGTAGTTTGAACAGTTAAAATTGGCTTACAAAGTGAATTACGAGGGCAGAGGTCTCCTGCAGGTTCCATACCTTTGGAATATTGAAGTTATAGTCATGTGGCTATAGCCACAGTAGTACAAAGTGAAACTGCAGAGTGGTGGAAGTTGGCTGGACCTCTTTGATATCTCTTTTTTCAATATGAGCTTAGTCTCCTTGTATCTCCCTCTGCTACATAGGCTACCTATATCTGATACAGTCATTTCCAATAGGTAGAATTCTAGCTTCCAGGTTTGTGCGTGGTCTATGTGAGCAAATAGTTTATATATATTTATGTGTTTATTTTGAAATTATGTAGACAAGCAATAGAGGGGGGAAAAAAAAGAATATTTGCTGGCTGCCAAATGGCCTGGGAGATTTCATGTGAATTTTACTGGAAAGGACGATATCACTGAATTTCAGCTTGCAATTGCATTTTGCAATGTTCAGCACTGGAGAAGCCTAGATATCTTAATGTGTAGTCTCTTTGTGTTTATCTGATAGGCTGTTTGATACAGCCAGTTCAGGCATGTTTATATCCCATTTTACTCGCTATTTGATGTTTTTGTATATACTGAATGGATTTATTTTTACCCTAAAAGTTTGGAGAATTCTTTGTATGAATGCCCACATGTCAACATTTGACGTTTACACGTCAAGAAGGTTACTGTGTGTTCCCTAGAGTGCTTGTTATTTTCTAGTTGTTATTTGTTTGGTTTAAATTATGTGATTATGTTGTAGAAACGTGACTGATAAAACCTGAGTGACCACTGGTATTCCCATGGGTAGTGAGCAGTCTGGGAACAGCCTGTAATTACCAATTGGCTTGCACAGCCTTTCCCCCTTCTTCCCCTGAATAATTGCAAAGAACATAAGATTTTAAAATTGGAATCTATTAAAAAAATGCACCAACAGAAAAAGAGACTAAATTGGAAGCAAACACAAATTGTGAATAATACAGCTAACTCTAATTAATTCCAAACTGGAAGTCAAAATCTGGTAACCTCGAGAAGATGAATGGAAGCTCTGATTATCATTGGGAAGCTTGTTTGAGAGCTAGTAGGTCTAAAATTCATCATAAAATGTTCATTTATTGTATACCCATTAGTACATGCTATTTTTAGTTCTCTGTTACCAAGTTCTACATATCCTTGCAATTTCTAGCCCTTACTGGGAATCCGTATTGAAGCCATGTTTATTTTCTCTGCTGTTGCTGTAACACTATATTAGTTGCATTCTCTGATGTATTTATTGTTTTAGCTTGAATTGAATTGTTTTGATGAGTGCTGTGTGACTGCACAATAACATAGTAAAGCACACAGGAAGTTATTTGCCATTTACTGCCAGACTTCAGCTACAATTGTTGTAATTCACTGAACTTCATGTTTATGGTTTCTCAGGTCACCAGTGTATAGTTTGCTAACAAAAGAATATTTTTCCTGGCTCTCTAGACTAATACCAGTTCAAGGTCATGAAAGAAACTCATACAGATAGTCAAGGGGAAAAGTGGGAGCTAAGTCAAATTCTTATCCCTAAATGAATGAGAAAAATGTTTTAAGTATCACTGCTGCTAATTTTTATTTTAATCCATTAAAATAAATACTCCTGCTTGGAATAGCAGGAGGTAACACTCAGTTAATGCATTCTTCTCTCCTTTACATTAATGATCTCAGGAAGAAACACGTCAAAACAAAGACATGCATTGAAGTATAGGAAATCTTTCCATAATCTAGGCACTCAGCGCTTGTCAGCTCATGTTCTTCATCCATGGAGATCCCTCACCTTGGATGGCTCCCTTTCTGAAGCTATTTCCTACTGCTATAAATGTTCCCTTTCCTATTACAAGATGCATTTAAAAAACCTGCGCGTGACTCAGGCTGCAAGTCATTTTGAAAAACGTGCATTAGGTTCCAGAGTTATTGGGGGAACTCCTGGAGATTTTACTTTTAGGTGCTAATGAGAGTGGTCTGGTAGCTCTTTCACAAAGGAAAAGTTGAAAATCCCTTCGATTGCTGGTTTTCTGTTGTGTCCTTCAGGTAATTCATCTCTACAACTGCCTTTTTATCCCCTGTTCAAAACTGGCTGTTATAGGCTATAAATTCTTTCCGTTTCTTCTGTCTCTTTGTGACATAAATTCCTGTGCCTCTCAGGGATTCATCATTTTGTTCAATTTTATAGTCAAAAAATGACATTTTTACCTTAATCTCTTCAGGCAGAGTTTATTTACAACAGTCATCATGACATACTGTCCATAAGAGGGTTTCATCCAAATTTTTGTGCATAAATTAAACTTTGATCCAAAAGGTACATGAGTTTTTCCTGCAGCAAGATTCTAATTTGAGCGTTCAGACAGGAACTAGTTTGCCTGAGGGCACCAATTAGTGCAGTAATACTTATTCTTCCTGGAGGACTGGGGAGGATCCAGGAGACCCTCTGTGCAGTTCACATCCAGGGGAAGCTAGTGGCAGGGTGCTAATTGCTGACTTTCACTCAGGTGCTTGCAGGCGATTTGCCCGGATATCGCAGAGACTTCTTAAAGCTGGTTGTGTGGTTAGTACTGTCATCATCTCTAGCTTGAGAAGCTACCTGCAGACCGGCTGTCTTGAAGGAATAATGTGCATGTGCTTCCTTCCCTCTCCCCTAAATATCTCTTATATAGTGTAATGTCTGGATTCCAGAATGAAGTTCAAATGTTAGTGAAAAATAATATGTTGTATTGATAGATAATTAATTAATGAGGCAGCAGTGTTAACCAAATGTAGCTCTGAGCTCTGCTTACTGGCAACTGTTCATTAAGAATTTCATTTTTAAGAGTGTACGCAAAGCAATTGAAGAAAAATATTATAGTTCATTAACATTACTACTTTTATATATGTTTTAAAAACCACTTTTATAAACATTGAGTTCCTAAAGCGATACAGATAGCTAGGAATCAAAATGGTAAATTACAATTACAAACAAAATTTCAATTGTTAAAAAACCTTTTCTCCTGGAAAGTTAAAAAACATGAAAAAATGTCCATTTTTTAAAATGTAAGAGCAATATGCATGTATTAAAAGCTTTGTCACTTGTTTTCACGTGCTTCATCTTTAAATGTAAATACACCTTCTCCTGAGTGATGTACTGTTAAAGGTAAATAATAACCTTGGGACCAAACTTCATATGTGGAATCACGTTTTTTGCTCTCCTACTTGTTTTCTCTGTCAACGGGAGAGTGTTCCCCTAGATCTTTTAATTTAGTTGTGCTGCCTCGCATGAGATACAGCTGCAATGCCTTTACTGCTGCAACTCCTCCTGCTCACCGGGCTGGCAGAAAACCACCAGCTGGCCTTGCTGACAAAGCCTGGGACCCAGCGTGGACTGCAGGGAGCTGGGCAAATAGGTCGGTGTTGCTACAGCCCTGCTGCCTGCAGCGACCCAAACCAGCTGCCTGCTTCAGCCTGAACGAGCCACAGTCATGGCGCGGGAGAGGTACCCTTAGTTTTGGGTCAAGGACAACTCTTGGCCTCATCTCCCATCCCTGCTCTCCTGCACTTCCATAAGGAGAGGAGCAGGAACTGCCAATCCAAATGACAGTATCTTTGTCGTTCTAACATTACGGTGTCTTATACTGCACTCTTAAGATTTTTTGCCCATCTCTGTCGTGGAATTTGATGGTGTGCAAGTTTACCATTTTTTATTCACTGACTTCTCTGAAGGCCTCTGAAGGTCTGACTCCCATTTGCACTTGTTACATATGCTTGTTATGTCTCATGAATACTGACTTCCACCATTCTGTACAGGAAGGGACTCAGTCGGTAAGGTATTGCAACTATCTCTTTGTCATGGAAGACAAACTGAAAGAAAGCCAACCAGCCTGGTCCAGGCTGAACCAAAAATGATGTGATTTTCTCCCCTGAAAAACTGAAAAGTCAAAAAATATGTATATCCTATTCAACCTGAGACTAGTGTTTCATTCTGGACACTTTAAAAAAAAAAAAACAAACCTGAATGAATTAAAGACTAGTTTGCATTATTTTAAATCCTCCCTTCTTCCTTGTGGCTTGAGGGAATAGGTCATTGTCTCAAGGTGTGAAAACTCAGTTTGTATTCTCTCTTCTGTCCAAGGAGAGTGGCCCTACCAGCCAGAGATTAGAGCCATAACCTCCATGTCTGAGTGTTTCTACGTCTCTTCCTCCATGGTAGAGAGACCATGGTTGTCTGGGACACTATCTGCATTTCCTACAGAAATGGGAATAGCTTCCACAGCAGGGACAGAGAGCCCCCTCTTCCAGACTGTCCCCTGGCCTAGTGATTGTAGGGCTCTTCCTCGGTTCAGACACCTGACATAGGAAAACGCAGCTCTCCAATGCCTGTCTTTCAGGTGTTGACAGGTCTGTGCCCATTTCCATTCACCCAAGACCTCCCACCTGGTTTTAGCAGATAAGTAGTGGTGTTTTGTTTCTGAGGTCTGAGGCAGCTGTTTAACACAATTATATATTCTGTTCTCTTTTCTTCAGTTGAGACTGAGCACAAGATGCCCAATTTGATGTGACCTTTTAAATATATATTTCTGTCTATATTCTGCTTAGAATTACATTCAAGGTTTTGGGGAAGTTCGTTTAAAATCAGTTGTTTTCAGATATTCAGGAAAAAAATGTAGTCACTGAAGAACGTAAACTATAAATTTCAGTAGTTCTCCAGTGCCTGTGCCGTATGCTCTTAAACGATCTAACCAATCGTTTCAGTACAACCAGCCCCTTTCCGCAAATAGCTAGAATTTCTGCTTTGTCTTTTCTTTCTGCCATTTGCCAAGTTGCAGTAAAAGCTACATGAGATGAATATTGACATCTTGTGAATAAGAGCAAATTGTTGTGTTTGCGTACATCCACTGAAAAAAGTGTAACTGCATCAGATACTTCATTACTTGATATCAATGTCTCTTTTTAGGCTTTGGCTCATCTGCATTTAATAGACTATATAGGGGAGCAGACAGCTTTGTTAATAAAGGTATGTTTAAAATATTTATAGTTTTTTATCAGGTAAGAAAATAGTTTTACTCTATTAGAATAATGAATAATCATTTCATTTTGATTTTTATGTTAAAAATATTTTATGCTATCATTTATGTTTTATGATATTTTATGTTAAAAATTACTTTCCTGCACCAGTGATATCTAGAAAGCATGTTATACTTTGGTGTAGATGATCTTTAATATGTGTATGTCTGTCCAGAGCTAGAATAAATGTTACCTTAAATGCAAAATAGAAACCTTTTTTGTACTCTAATAAACAAAAAAATATGGAGGTGAAAAAAATAAAATTAGGAATGCTAAAAGGGGAAAATTCACAGTTGCACCGTTTTTTTTCTTGTGTACAGTGTAAGCATGAGTATTAGAAATACCAGTCTTTTTATTTCTACTCGTTCAGGTTTCTTTGAAAAAAGAGCAACAATTGTGTTGCTAAATGCCAGGTTTTTTTTTTTTTAATATTTTTTTCTGTCTGAAGGCCTGAAGGAATAAAAGATGTTTATAAATTAAAACTGTGAAGCACCTGTGCAGTTGTGCTGTTAGGAGGCCAGAGTAATACTGATCCCATCAGAGCTGTAATTTGACCTCTCTTAATTCCAGGTAGTTCCGGAGGAGCAGCGTTTGGCGGTTGCCATCATTTTAGTGCTCTGGGTGTCTGCTTTGGCCTCGTCTGTGATTGACAATATTCCATTCACGGCTACAATGGTACGGTTCCACACAGAGTCTGCATTTCACCCTCTTAGTTCTGGGAAGGGAGCTGAGCTTGCTGATTACCATTCGCTTTTTTTTGACCTCTGCTATGCTATAATTTACTTTATCCCCTGAGACTGAATCATATTTACCAGCTTATTCATATCATTTAGGCATCCAGCTGGCCATTGCTGCTTGCAATTGCTGTGGTTAAGTGTGGAACTGTTTTAGCTGCATTTTTGCTCTTTGCCTATCTTATCAACATCTATACCTGAAAAGTAAAATTGTCTTTTTGATGGAAATTGTCATTATCAGTACACAGCTGTCAATATTATTTTCCTTCTACGCTCTGCGTAGTTACTCCAATGACTTTTTAATGCCTGAACTTTTAATTGCTACCTTACTTATATAATTAGTTTTAAAATAGCAAATAATGTTAAACATAACTAATGCTTGTCAGCAGCTGAGTGTTAATATCAGAAAAGTATCAAATTCTAACAAATTAGGGAATGATCAAATAGATTTATTCAATCAAAGTCTCTGCTGAAAGCACAATAATCCCTTCGTTATACCATAGGAATGATTCTTTGTTATAGCATGATCTCAGCTAAGTCAAATTTTTCTGAACCTTTTTTCTGCCATTGTTATTGGGTGGCCTTGTTTAGCTTTATTCTGAGTTGAGGTTTAAGACATTTCATACAGGGCAGTTGACTGATTGGATACATTTGCAACTGCTCTATATTTATATATAAGTATATTACTATGGTATTTTGGTTTGGTTATCTTGATGTTTTCTGTGCGATCATATTGATTTAATAACAACAGACTGCAAACAATAAGCCCGAAGAGAAAGATTGGTTTGGGATGAGTCATGTCCCAGCAAATACTTGAGCACTGTGAAGCAGTAATGCAGAAATTTCAGCTTAGAAAGTTTTGCCTCATCTCCAGCTAGTCTATGAAAATTTGGTTTGGAGAAATACCAGAAAGCAGCTGCGTACACATACATCAAATGGTTTAAGCCTTTTAAAGACAGTATTTGTTTTGGGGAACTGGACTGAAACACAGGAGTGTCCTGGGATGCCTGAAGACCCCTGCTTTGGTATCTTTGAGGGAAGGAAATGAAGGTAGAAAGGAAAGGATTCTTCCCTGCTGCCAACATTTTCAAATGAATATTTTTTTTCATTCTGCTCTTGACTGAACCTAAAACCATTACAATTTTGTCTTGAAAAATGGGCAGAGAGTGGAGGAAGGGAGACAAAATGTGGGCATATTCTCACCTTTGCAACAGTAGCCAATAGCCCGGGTGCTAGGACATTCATATGTTATATGGCAGACTAAAGTCGTGACCTAGCATTGTCTAGCCCAAAGAATGGGCTTGAACTTTGGTCTTTGTCACTCTCCAGCAGAAAACACTTACAGAAATTTCTTAACTAACTATAGGTCCCAAGTCTTTATGTAAAAATACATACATGTTTATTCAAAATTCTTTTTATTTCTTTGGCATTTGGTTCTGACTGTTAAAATAAACAATACTTGGTTTTGGAAGGCTATTTATCACTCACTATATAAGTCAAATTTACCCACTACTGATGAGGAGTATTACATGTATTGAACCCAGCTATGTTGTAGATTAGCTTTTCCCTGATAGGGGGCTGAGTGTTTGTGTATGTATGCCTCTGTGTATGTGTAAATACAGATTGCAACCAGTATTTCTTAGAACACCTTTATTTATTGACTTATTTCTACAGAACCAAGTTACTACTATTAATAGCAGATAATCATCTACACAACACCTTTGGTTATTCAGCCACGTAGTTGCCTCGCACTTTCTCACATAGTTACCCAGCTGGAGAAACAGTTGCGAGGACAACCCCAAGTGTATATTCAGAAGCAGAGGATTGTACTGACATGCTTTTAGGTGTCGGTATGGCCTCAAATGATCCAGTGACAAAGGGATATAGCGCTATGATGAATGATCCTGTCCTTTCATGGAGAAAAGTGGCCAGCATCACTGTTGAGCCTGTGCTCACAATTATGGACGACACAGATGTACTGAATATGTGAAGCCTTCTGAGAGGTCCATCCTTCAGTGGTGAACCAATGACTGTATGACATAGGTAGTTTTTGTGTGTGTGGGCGGGGGGAAGTGCCAGAAGATAAACATCAGTTCATTCATAGTATCTCCACAACATGACCTCCGTGGCTGCTGGGGGAAGTGCCAGAAGATAAACATCAGTTAATTCATAGTATCTCCACAACGTGACCTCTGTGGCTGCTGTATAAAGTCTTCCATTCACCCCCTACAACACCTTACAGTGTATGTTGTCCAATCTTGGAGCAGGGAGGTGGGTTGGGCTGTACATGTCGAAGAGTAACTTAGAAACCGCATGAGAACAGGCAGAAGTAAGGATCTCACATGTGAGGTCTGATATAGGTGACTGTGATGGGGAAGTGACATGTTAACTTAATTTGTGTGAGACACAAGAAGTCTGTGTGATACTTCTTAGAGGGTTCCACAGGTGCGGGTGCAAATATTTATGAGATACCTTAAATATGTGGCAGAAAGTTTTTGAGCCACATGCCCAGAGGACACATTTGACCCTGGATCAGACTGTAAATTCAGACTGTATACCTAAACCAAACTAATCCCCCCGAACGAAAGGCACTGTAGATGCAAAGAGACTCACCTCCAGCTTTTTCAGTTTCCTGATCTGCTCCTATTGCACCAATGTAATTACTAGTTTCAGGATATCCCATGCAATTGATATGCAGAGTAATTTGGCTCAGGATTTGCCTGAGAAATGGAAGAACTGTGGAATTCCACTACCAGATAAGAAAGGCCTGGGGTTGGGACTTTGAGGGGCATAAATAGAGAGAACAAAAAGAAAAAAAAAAATGCAGATAGCTTTGTAACTTTGATACTTCATTTCCTTAAAAAAAAAATCAAATTCAGTTATGATTGTCCAAATTTTCATTTCAGCTTCTTTGTTCATACAGGTGGGATAATTACATTCATAGTGACTTGCTCTGTGTATGGAAAAAATAGAAATAAAAAAATTGTGAATGGCTAATTAATGGATCTTGACATTAAAAATTTCCACTTTACCTGTTTTCAGATAAAGTTATCTGGTCCATGTTAAGTTTCAGATCTGACAGCATTAAATTTTCTAGCTGACTATTTCTTACTGTAAGAACATTAAAATATATATGCATATTATTTATATATAATATACACATCTTATTTATATATATATCATTAAAATTTTAAAATTTTAATATTTTCAAGGTTTGTTAAGTATCTAGCAAGACAAATTAGGATTCTTACTTATTTTAAAACACATACACATAAATTACCTGCAGTTTAAGAACAAATAGGTTTCTATACATTTTTTAATTTTTTCAAGATGGAACATTCTTAAGGTGCAAAATAGTAATTTGTTTAAATATTTTGAAGATATTGATGCTTTTCAGCATGGAGATTTCTCCCTTAAAAAAAAAAAATGAAGCGGCCAAAAATTAGATTAGTTTATTATTTGAAGTACTTTACTGTGAAAATACATTTTTAGTGCAACACTGTTCTTGGCCAAATTCTTTGCTCCAGACAATAGCAGCAAAAATGACGGTGCTGTGTGGAATCTATGTATAGTAGTAGCTAGACTGAAATTTATGCAAAAAGGTCAGAACACAGCAGGTATTTTATACTACAGAAGATGCTCTAGAAAGATAACAGTATATATTTAAAAATAGAATAAGTTTCTGAAGAGATTTAGGTCATTACAGGTTGATTAATCTTACTGTTTCTGTCTTGGTGAAATTCTGATTTTTGTTAAACTAAAATAAAGCATTGGAGCTGTATAAGAACAAAATTTGTTTCATATAAGGTATCATAAATGCAAAGGCCACAGGTTCCCCCAAAACAAGAAAAGGAGCTTGAAATGGGATTGATGAACTGTAACCATGAGACTTTTCCCTTCGCTTCAAGCATTTCGAAGTCCAGGTTCCTAACTACCTCTATGTTTATGTGAGTGACAGTTTATTGCACTTTACTGCGTCAGAATGCTTGGCAATTGTGATAGCTGTCCGTACATGAATGGACAGGGGAAAATCAATCATTTTATATCAATATGTAAAAAATCTACAGTAGCAAAATATTTTGAGTTTGGTATATAATTTGTGGGAAACTCCATGAACGCTGTCAGTATGCAAAAGACTATATTGCCGTTTGCAAATCTAATAAATATACAGATAGTGCTACGGGAAAGAGCAAAGGTAGCCGAGGGTCGACGCAAGTTCTTTGCATTTAAGATAAATATAGCTGAATAACCCTAAAAATAGAGCTCTTCCATACTTACATCTAGAATGCATTATACAAAATAGAATATGTGATTATCTAGTGCAGTATTAATGAGAAATGTATTTTAGCAAATTAATATTCATTCTCAATAGAATAGGTAAACCTTAAAAATAACCAGTTTCTACGTGTGGTGGTGTGCATGCAGTCATATGTATCTGGAAGTTGCTTAAGAACGACCTACAAGGTGTTCTATCCGTAAACAGTTCATAAACCAGGAACTCAGTTCTGTTTCATACATTTTAATTCCTGAACGGCGAAAGTTTTTTTCAGGTTGGATAGTGAGCTTCTAGGTCCGAAGAATAAATATGGTGAATCATATAGTGCTGCTTTATGTGTGCTCCTATTAATCCTCCGATTTTTTGCCTCTTTCTAGAACATGGCTAAACTCACCATGACATGCCTTAACAGGCAGAGTTATTCATTTTTAAGGCCTGTTTTTTCCTAGCCGCTGTCATGGACATTTTCCATTGTCATCTAAATAGCTGTGGATTTCTGCCCTTACAATGTTAGGTGACATGATTTTATTACCAGCACATTCTTTAGTTTAATTGACTTGTTTTATCAGCTACATATGTTGGGACCATCTGTTTATACTTTTCTTTTATTACTGGAACTAAAAATATAGTCATACTAAATCCTTGTTTTACCTGAGTTTAAATAC